AAGCAAATGGCATTATGCATAACAAAATGTTGTTGTAAATGCTATTCCTAAATGCTAAAAGGAGTTTGGTAGAAACATTTGGACTTCAGATATTGATGTTATAGTCTATGAAAGTAACCCTCATCCTGTCTAATTCTGATTAGTCTAATTCTGATTGGCTGACTTGAAAATGTTGTGCTCTTCATTTAAATTTAATAAAATTTAAATTCCTTTCCGCTTTCCAGAAGCAATAAATATGCATATATTTTAACTGTGAAGCAGAAGGAAATTACAAACATTCTCCTTTTCTCACACTTTGCATGTGGTATAGAGACTTGGATAGGGTTCGTATCTAAACAAAGGTCTGGAGAGTCTCATATAAATAAAGTGTCACTGCCCACATGCTCTTTGAGCTAAAAGTCAGGAAATAATGGTGTTTTCTTTTCTTCTAAGTGACGCTTTTTTTCCTTCACACACTCACATTTCTAGCCTTAAGTTATTTTAAATGTTAGGTTTTCTGTGGTTATTCCTAGATGATGGATGGCAGTTTGGTAATTGCATCTGTCTTCATGATCAATGAGCATTGTTCTGCAATTGACTCAGTTAAGGCCACTGGACTGTGTCAGAGAGGAGCCTGAGATGAGTGGATTAGTCATGTTCTGGTTGGCTTTCTTTAAATCTATTGGGCATGGCCTTTGCTCCCCCTTGGTCTGGAACTCGCAAGGAATTACTGCTCCTCTGGCCACAGTTGACAGTCAATACATCCTTGATGGATAGATGTATGTGTGTATGAATGAGTGAAATGTCAGTTCTATTCTTCCAGGACCATAGCTACTGGAAAAAATAAAGTACACTGAATTCTAAAATGGAGTTGCTTATGATAACATATGTGTGATAACCACAGAATTAAGAAATGAAAACCTACTGATTTCTCTCTCTGTATTTATTGCTTCTATATGAAATCAGTGAGTGGAGGATGAAGGTCTTAAGAGTAGTCAGGTAAGCTGGTTCTTTTCTATGGTCTTCTCACCCATGTGCTTGCTTCTGTTACAATTCTTGTCATGCTATATTATAAGCTCAACACTGTGTATACCGTGAGAGTGGCGACTATATCTTGTTTTTCGCACAGTATAACCTCATAACTTAGCACAATGCCTGACACATAAGGATAACTCAATAAATGCTTGTTAAATGAATAAATTTTTTAAAAGCCTGTAAAAGAAAAGAAAAATATATGACTATGTGAAGGCTAAATGTCTGCAAAAGTCAAGTACAGAATATAGGCTTTATAAAGAAGAAAACATTTGCCAAAAATCCTTAGTCCAGCCTATATGGACATAGGCTCCCTTACTGGAAGGAAATCTAATACAGACTCCATTCTCCCGAGTATAACACTTAAATCACTTAGAGTAGAACTCCTAGAAAAGCATGTATAAAATATAGAAGCCCATCTGGTAATATAACATAACTATGTATTTTGGGGGGAAAACACAATGAAACACAATGCAAACCACACCTATCATTTTTATTATACAACTACAGATAGTAAAGATTTACAAAATTTTCTTGGCCAGAGGGTCTATGAGAAAAAGATTGATTTTCCCAACTAGAGAAGTAAGGATCCTAGGAGGGACATGAGAATTTTATGTTTATCTAACACAAGCTTAGGTTTTAAAAGGTTGGGAAACAATGACTTGGCATAAATTATACTTCCGTTCCTGAGGCCCTCTGCTTGCTCTGAAGAGTTGCAGAGTCGACAAAACCCGGGGGTTCTATTAAGCAGGGGGATTTCTATTATTCACTCTGATCTGAGGAGCCTGGGGAAATACTCACCCAACTCAACCAGGTGTCTGAATTTTCCCCTGGCTTCAAAGAAGAGATTGCTCTCTACCTTCCCCAGCCCTAGGCATAGTGCAGAGGTCATTGCCTCTTATATAATTGGATCTTTACAGAACTATATGCCCCTTTCCTCCAGTCCTCCCGAAGCACAAATCCTTGTAGACCATCTTCCAGGAAACTTTCTCTTCTTAGCCTGCTGTTTAGCAACCAAATTCCAAGCCATCCAATGTTCTATTTTACCTACAACTCTAATTGGTATAGCCCTTTCAAATTTATAAAATGCTGTTATATGAATAACCCTTTAAGAAAAAAAAAAGAGAGAAAAAATTAGCAGTTAACTTGAGAGCTGTAAGCAAGGAATGGAAACTGCCCATGCTGTAGGCTATCAGGTATGTAATTCCCACTGCCTAGTGATGAGGAACCTGAATCTCTGGTCTCTCAACCTAACTACTTATTACATTAAATATACATGATAGAGAAATACGTTAAATGATGCCAAGGATTAGTTGAATGTGAGCATGTTTATAGGACAAGTGAACTGGTTTATTTAACACTTGGAATGGAATAAGTGGGGTGGAGAATGACTATGCATTATGAGAGACTTAGGAACATCAATCAAATGCAGTGTGTGGATCTTGCTTGCATCCCAATTTATACAAACTAATTGCTAAAAAACATTTTTGAGTCAATCTAGGAAATTTAAATATGGCCTGAATATAAGATGATATTAAGGAACGGTTGTTAATTTTTTGGTTAATCTTAAATTTATTTTTAAATGATTACTATTAATTTTTATAAAATTGACTCTGTAGTTATGTTGGGCAAGTTTATTGTTTATAGGTACATACTGAAGTATAAATGGGAGAAAGAGTATTATGTGTAGGATTTGGTTTAAAACACTCCAGCAGAAACAAACAAACAAAATAGAAACAGGTAATGCATGTTTGGGTGCACACTCATAAAATAGGATTGGCACAAGGTGACAATTGTTAAACTGGCTGACAGATACCTAGGGGTGCTATTTTACTCATTTCTTTGCTGCTGTGAATATTTAAAATTTTCTACAAATAAAAAGTAAAAATATATATTTTTTTACATTTTATAAAGGAAAAGAGAGTGGGAAGGAGTTGACAACAGTGTTGTACTCTGTTGAGGGATAGGGTAAATGAGCACAATTTCCCATTCAGCTTAGTGATGGCAGTCATTGGAAATCTTGGTGACAGCTGCTTGAGCTGACATAAACTCCAGATGGAAACAGAGGGGAATTTAGGATTGAGAAGAAAATTTTTTTCCCTCAGTGAGAGAGACTTAGAATTTTAAAAATCTGATTCAACGAGAGGTTGAATACGCACACACACACAAAGGTAATTAATAGGGAAGGGTAGGGTTCCCAAGAAAGCAAGGAAGGGTGAGATCCAATGTACAGGGGCAGGGATTGGCCTGAGACAAGAGAAGGGGCAACTTCCCTACTAGAAAAAGGATAGAATGGATGTACGTGTAGGTAATCGATATGTTTGGAACAAAGAGAGGAGAGATTTGCTATTTGAGGGCTCCTGTTTTCTATATAAAGTAGGAGTAGGGTTCCAGGTCAGAGGTGTCAGAACAAACAAACAAACAAAAAGCAGAAATTTAGGACAGTGTTGCTCACAGTTGATAGTTGTATCAGTTCTCCCTGTGGAGTGACTGTCACAGTAGCACTGGGCAGTCAGGTGGTGGCCCAGAGGAAGAAGAAATCTGGGTGCATTCAAGTTTGAGGTTTTGCCTGACAGGGTATCAAAAAGAAGAAAAAGAAGACAGGGAGTTAGGGTGTTGATAGGAGTATTATTGAACTAAATTATCATGTAACCTAAACTGGGTTAAAAAAGGGTTGGTGGATTGACAGACTTCAAGAAAGTAGAATGGATCTGAAGTCACAAGGAGGTCTGAGAATGTCTCTCAGCAAGCCTGAAGGTGAGGCCATTGAGGCCAGAGAGGGGGCACTATGATTAGCCAGTTTGGAGGTGGGCATGTGTGGGGGATATGATGCCAAGATATGAGTATAAGTCAATGGTAGCAGGGAGCAGAGAAAGTAAATGGACAATTGGATTGGAAGTCACTTTTCATCATTAATGACAGTCCATTCAAGAAACAGAATTTCCTAACAGTCCTTGTCCCCAACAGTTGTAGGCTCAAAATTCTATACTACAACAATGCAGGGCACTCAGAGGGAAAGGGAATTTTTTTCTTTTTCTTTTTCTTTTTCTTCTTGGAGCTTTCCTAGGGAACAACACACAGAAAAAATAATGGAGTCACCTCGACCTTTGGAATTCTTTTGCCTAGATGGCTCAAACACAATTTTTTACCCTGATAACATTCTTATAATACAAAAAACTGGACAGATGTTAAGGACTATGGGACAGAGAGTCTATACTTTATTAAGATAGGGTTCTGAGAAGTTAATTGTCTTCCGTTTCTCTTTCCAAGCCTGGAAAGAGCCAGCCTAGAGACCTCTTGGGCAAGGAGGCAGGCAGGCTGGGGTTCACAGAGCCCTGTGCCACGACCTGTTCCACAACACTGCCTCCCAGTTGGCTGGTGCAGGCTCAGGACAGTGGCTCTCACAGGAAGACTTCCCTCCCCAACAGTCATGGGTTGAGTCTGCCACCGGGTTGCTGATGAGTGCTGAGGCTGCAACACAGTTTCTCAGTACAGCTCAGTCCCTCCCAGTGAGCTAGTCACAGCCACCCCTTTCCTGGGCTGCCTGGGCCTTACCCTAAAAATGTCCAACCTGCCCGTGACAGCAGGACACTCAGCCAGATCATGCCGAATGTGCCCGCATGTCCTTTCCCCCGTCAACCAGCCTAGTGCTCCAATCAGTCTCCCATCCCCCACTTGCGCAATGGGAGAGAGTCGCCCCACCTGGTACTCGGTTTCCTGCCACAACTAAAATTGATTTATGTACATCTACAGGTCTCTTCTTAAAGTTGAATTGGCAGCAAGGTATCAAGGAGGATCAAGAAACCCTCTGCAGAGTATCTGTCATCATCTCTTTTCAACAATATTTATAGCATAGTACTAAGGCTAACACTGAGCCTAGTGATAGAAAACAGAGCACATAAAAACATACATCTTTCCCTTTTACTGGATAAGGACAACTGAATTAGAAGAAATTGAAGCAAAATAAAAGAAAAGACACCATCGACTTATTTAAATATGACAATATTGTTATTGCAAACACAAAGGGTTATTCAAGTCCTTTACAAATGAAATGCTGCCTTTAGGCTGAACACAAATTTGCAATGGAGCCTCCAAGACCCAAGGAGATGAGTAGTTCTCCTGTGGCAGGGGACTTCTGTAGAAAGGAGGCTGTGTCCTGAGCTGATGATCCTCAGGGCCCATTGCTAATTGATGTACACAAAATAGATAAGCTCCAAAATCTCTCTTACCTCACACACACCCTGAAGACCAAGAAACACCTTGGAAATATTAGTGCATTCTCATTAATTTCCATTTTTAATAGGTGGACACATCAACCCACAAAGTTATAACTTACTATATATCATGAACTATAGTCATAATTTGTCTCACTAAGATTTAACAACATAATAAATATTCTTTAATCCATTTTAGGACAATGACTATTCCACCTGGAAATACTCAAAATGTACTAAAAAACAGACTCTCCCTTTTGCCCAGTGAGTTTACACAATCGTACTTTAGCATCACCTCCTCCTATACAGGGAAATTCCAATGCAGCTATATTTTGTCACTGATATACAGACTCCGACAGATCACAGAACTATATTCAGTCCCATGTCTCAGTCTGTTTTTAAGACACATATGAAAGTTTATTAATGAGAACAGCATTCTATGCAAGAAATAAACAAACCTGTACTTTTCTGTCTCATTTACAAGAGCCAAGTTTGGTCTGCATGCCGGGTAGAAGGAGACTCCTTTGTTTTTAATTGCTCCTGCTAAATAAATCCATCAAGGCAATATCTGGAATTAGCATGGTTTCAGGATCTGGGCAATATTAGGTCCCATAATGTCCTGGCTACAGAAGGTAGATCTGAAAATTTTAAAGGAAAAAAACAAAAAAAGGATTTTAATATGCTTTGGCAGGGGTGGGGGGTGGGTGAGAGGAGACTTTGTCAGATATTCTGATTTAAGAAGCCGGTATTATTTTCAAAATACTTTTGCAAATATAATATTGATTTCTTAAACAATTTAATTTTCCTTAATTGCAAAACTTCAAGGTGTGCAAAGTTCTATACTAGCTGCAAATTTCAATTTATATATGGATTTAAATACCATTCATAAAGTTTAAGATATGTTTGGAAATAAAAAGGAAAAAGTAATACTTACTTATATGCATATTTTCCAGATATATCTATCACCATTTCTGCTCCCAACTTATTCTGAGAATGTCCAAACGAATCTTTCTTCCAAATGAACTCAATACTTGTAATGTTTCCAACATTAACATCTGCATCAATTAATTTTGTATAAGTCATGCCTGGCGTAAGTTTTCCACTGTAAACAGAAGAATAGGACTCATAAGCTTGCACTGGGTATTCACGATGCTGAATAAAAGAAAACACATCTCTGCATGTACCATGGAAAAGAAAGTTGCATTTGATGGCATTTGCTTGTGGGAGACTTATTCTTTCAATTTGCATTGATCAGCATTTCAGAATATAATGGTTCTGAAGTTGAAAGAAGGGCCAGGTGAATGTTTGGCCACCTGAGTTTTAGGGGATGCCTAGAGAGGCATTATCATGATGGGTTCTCCACAGCGAAAGATCTAGCCTTTCACTGGTATCAGAAACCAGATTATACTGACACAGGGGAATGAAGAAGATGCCAGTGATGGACTAAATTCATACAAGACTGATCCATAAACCAGAAGCCTGTTTATCAATTCACAATGTGCAAATGCTTCCTTTTTATTAACCAGAATGCTCTCCTACCCTTTCCCTGGTACCTCCTTTATCCACACAAAGGGAATCGTGTAACCAAGCCAGTGATCAGAAGATGTTTTGGTGAGCATGACAATATAGCAGAGACAGCTGGATTATTTTGAAGCTTGAGGCATATCCATCCAAGCCAAAATGAAACAGAAGAAATGCTCCTTCTCCACAATACAAAAGTCTTCTCGTGGCCCAGATTGCTTGTGGCACACAAACCAAAATCTCTTCCCTCCATGAGGGTATCTGACTCCTACTGCCTGTGTCCATTGATAATCGTGCTCCTTTTGATGATACAGTTCCTTTCTTGGTTGTGTCAATACATACATTAAGCTACAGTTAGTAACTGATTAAGCTACGAACCAATATAAACTGGTCCCCTTGTTGCTCCCTACTATGTCACCTTGCCTTATTTTCTTCATAATTTATCACTGTTCCTTTGTTAATTTATTCTTTGTCTCCTCTAACTGGAATATAAGCTCCCTGAGAGTAGGACCTGTGTCTGTACCTCAAGCAATTAGAACAGTTCCTGGCACAGTGTAGACACAAACGTTTGCTGAATGAATGAATGAATGAATGAATGAATGTTGCTGTTCCTAGAGTCTGTCTTACTCCAGCACAGGTAGACTTAATTGATTTAATAAACAGAAGAAAAATTTTCTTCCAAGTTATGAAGGGTAATCGTCCTGTCATTCCAGGAGCTGCCTTCACTCAGCAACCATACAATGCAGCCCTTCAAAGGGTGGGATCTGTTCAATGCTGGGTAGTATAAACGGTGGAACCTGGCTGAACTAGAGAAGAACGGAGCTAAATGGTAGGTGACGTGGCTAGAAACATGGGCTGGAGCCTGTGCATCCACCGGTATCCAGACAGGCACTGACTGAACAGGCAGTGGCACTAAGGTCAGGTGACGTGCAGAAACTGCCAGAGGGTTTAACCAATGCATCCCACATCTGAGAAAACAACCACAAAATCCCTGCTGTTCATGCCTGTGCCCAGTATTTGAAGATGATAGAAATCATAGAGATAAAACATCTAATCCACTCATCTGTTTGCAAAAAGGTAGTATCTCATCAGTGTATATAATGTTAATTTTGAAATGAATTACATAATTAAACAATGGAAGAGAAATATGTAATACGAAAATGCTAAGGCTGATCAATTAAAATATTAATAAAAACTCAAGATAAAAGGGAACTTTAGCAAAAGATACACAGTGAACATCTACACTGAATTATTCCTACCTTTGACTGTTTCAGCACATGTCCTGTGTCTGTGGATATGACAGCCTATCAGAAATTTAGCAATTGATATAAATGTCTTACTTCATAAGTAAATTGCTACTTATGCAAATAAAAATACATGCTCAGATTTGTATAATATTAAAGGGACTGGATTAAAAATACACCTTGGGTACTCTACTGTCAATTTTTTTCCACTTGCTATATTATCTAGATCTGTATTTTAAAGCTGTCATTCCCTAATATTTTCTGTTTCTAGCTGGAGCTTTAATAGATATTATGACTTCTACTTTATATCTGGAAAACATGAAATGAAAAGTCAAAGATAACATGGTAGCCTGTGGTGTTATAGGAAAACACAAGACTGAACAGCTCCACAAGCCGGTCTAACTGACCTGGCAGCGGCCGGTTCCTCTCTCTTCCTACCTGGCAACTGCAAACTGCCCTGTTTTCCCAGTTGTCCCAGCTACACGGAGATATATGCTCCCTTGAGTGATATTGGTTCCAGAGAGTTTAACAGACAACTTGTGCCTCCAACCTAGAAGAAAAGGAAACAAGAAAAGAAGAGAAAGGATTAAAAACACAGGAGAAGCACGACATCCTGGGTACTTTAATGTAAGTGCAACTTCTAGGGTTGTATATGAACAGTGCTGTACATATTCATGAAAAAAATACAATTTTATAGTTTCAGTGAATTTGGTGAAAAGTCACATATAGAAATAAACATAAAGGTTCACATTTTAATTTTCCAGAAGTAAATATTTTAATAATATTTTTAAAAGAAAATTCTTTCATTTTCCAGGTCTTTTTATGACTTGAAATTGTGTGTCTTCTTTTGTTGAATTTTTTTCTTTGTATTTTGTGACACACATGCTTTCTGTGGCCAGGTTTTTATTTGTTATAGTTGGACAACTAATCCAGAAAAAGTCTAGAAGACCTGTGGGGCAAGAAGGTGTATGCTTTTGCAATCACAGTTGTCTCTTCCTCTCCTGCAGGGATCTGTGCTAGGAATGCTCGGTCCATATAGATACAGGTTGATACAATGTCTGCCCATAGGATAATTCCTTTGTAAATGGTCAAGTGTAACTTTAAAAAAATGTGTAGCTGAGCAGATCTTTCATCCTGAATTCTGAAATTACCGTATGCTTAATAACGAATTGAAAAAATGCAATTCTTCATACCATTCTTTGAAAAAAATTTGAAAGGGGACAAAATCTGCCACAGTGTATTTTTAAATCATGAGTTAATCACTGCCAAGTAGTTCTCTTTCCCTCCTGATTCCACTGTCACCTCTCCACTGAGGCCACCCTTGCTAAGCCCCTCTGGGCCACTGGCTCATCTGACCTCGGGGCACCTTTGGTGTATTGAATGCATCTTCCCTTCCTCATCGTTTTTCTTTCCTTGGCCCTTTCAACTACAGCCCACAACAATTTTCCTTTCTCTCTGCACATCCATCGGTCTCCTTTGCAGGGGTCTCTTTCTCTGCTCCCTATGCTTGCCATCTGACACTCTCTCCTTGGGTAATTATATCATCTACTCTGAGCTCTGATTAGAGACTGAGTGACTCCCAAATCTCTACCTGCAGACCGCGTCCATTTCCAGAGGCTGAGGCCCATATCTCTAACTGCCCAAGCCCTGAAGGCACCTCAAACCTAACATGTTAGAAGCTGGACATCCTCTTACTCCAAACTAGCCCCTATTGTGGTGCTACCCGGTTCAGCGAACAGCACATCATCCACAGCCAGAATCGTCCTTGACTCCTTGCTTTTCCGCATCCTTCCAAAACACTCAGCACATTCTATTTTGCTTCTGTCTTCTCACCACCTCTGCAGTCTCTCCACTTCTCTCTACTTTTCTGCCTGGACTGTTGCAACAATTGTCTAACAGGGACCCTGTCTCCATCTTGCCCCCCTCTAATCTGTGCAGCAACCAGAATGATTTTTCTAAAAAAAAAAAAAAAAAAAAAAAC